TGTAAAATGGTTTAATTTTTAAAACAGATATTAACAAGAAATCTAAGCCACTGGAAAAAGGAATAAAAAAATAACTTCAAGCATTACACTTCCTCAGAATTCTAGTTTACTTAGTGATTTCCACCCTACGTGTTCCCACCTCCCCGTGATGTGAAATACTCAGGCAAACAAGAAAAACTAAGTAAAATACTTCAACTAAAACGGAAAATAGAATAACAAAATTCCTGTTCATCTCTTTCACTGTAAGTAAGTTCAGGTATTATGAGTAACACCAGCAAAAACAACCTCTAGACGAAGGCTTCTAAAAGATGGCATTATCATCATGTAACTATAAAGTATTATCCCCTGCAAGAAAATCACAAATTCACAACAGGCAAACCCTGCTGCCGTATGGACCAGAACGACAGTCTCATCTGACAGCCACAGATGACATTTCAGCCATGAAGTCCTACAGCAGCCATACTACATGCTTCTTCCATAAGTCACTCAGCCCCTTGGCCCCTCAACATACCTGGTTTAGGATTACAGAGAGGTTTGCAAAGACCAAAGAATTTAACATGAGAGACTGCAATTCAACAAGGTTTTTTATAAAGCTTTGGAAAAATTCTGAAAATCTTCTCTTTGCTTCTCTCTGCATCACTGTTGGTAGGAACAGCTATGCCACACTTCTAATCTCTAATTCATAAGGGACAGCCTGAATGTTCCATGCTCTCTACAGAGGCTATTATCTCTGACTTATAAAATTAGACAGACTATTAAACTGGCTGGCTTTTTTCTCCACAGAATAAATCCTAAAATGATGTCAAATCAGCTCATCTTTTCAGAGCTTTTAAGAATGCAGTCAGTCAAAACAAATTAGAGAAGTGCCATACTGGACCACTTAGCTTATTCAACCCCTCTAAGAATTTTTCAATGTAAAACTAGTCATCCCCCTGCCCCTGTCACCCACAAAATTTTCTAAGCTTGGAAGCCCCACCTAATTCTCAGTTATAAACTGCCATGGAGCATCAGTGGGATAGTCCTTTCCTTTTTCATATTTTCCGTGTTTTAAATGCCTTTACACATATAATAACACTCAGCATAACACCTGACCGGGAAACTCATCCGCATCTTTAAACTGCTGTAGTGACAGCACTTCCAAACACAGCAGATGTAAGCGGGCAGTAACATGTCATATATTACCCAGCACCACAAAAAGACTTGTGGCAAGCTCCAGTCTCTTCTCTGTATGCCACGCACCTTCCTTTACTCATAGTGAAGTTCACTACCATTATTCTCATGCTCCAATTAAGCTACGCACTGTGGCCTAAAACCGCGCTGCAGAAATTCACATTTTCTCCTTCGCACGCTCGGCAAGAGGAGGCGGCAAGCTCCTGAAAAAGAAATCCCACGCGCGGGGCTCCCCAGGCCCTGAGCCGAAGCACACGGGAGCCCCAACAGACCCCGTCCATTTCTGGGCCCCGCCCCAAGCCAAACCACAGCCAGCACGAAGATGAAGGCACAGAAAAGCTGCAGCCCGCAGCCAGGCTGCACCCCGCTCCGCACAGCCCCGTCCCTGTTTCCTCCCACCACCGAGAGGGAGAAAATGGGGAATTTTCATCTCGGCTTCCAGCCACGGTCTCGCTTGTGCCTCACCGCACCCCCACCGCGAACCGCGCCGCGACCTGGGCACCTGGCACGGATCCCGCCCACCCTTCCCCAAGCCCGGAGGACAGAGGCGAGCCCG